AAAATACCTTAAATTCTTTCTTTGCATGCAACTTAACTTATATTTCGATTACTCTTTTCTTTGTTTTTTAGTTACTTTTAAACAATAAAATATTTTTATGTTATAACGTCAACAATTGTTGTGAGTAAATAAAAATTGACATAATCTAACAAAATCTGAACTTAAAACAAGAAAAAATAAATAATGGTTGAAAAGTCAGCCCGTACCCAGAGGTTGTTCAGAACAAAGTTTTGGGTAGTCCGAGAAATGCCGTCAAAACAAATTCATTGACGATTAAAATTAAATAATACACGACAAAGGTGACGATGAATGGATTAATGCGATGCGATTTAACACCTACTCATAAAAATAGATGACGAACTTAATTATTCTTAATTAATGGGCAGTCGTGCTAGTCATTTATTAGCTATATATACCTTAAACTTCAAGAACATCTTGAGTAATCTAGGATGCTTTTTGAATGCTTCTTTCGGATGCAAATCAACAGGTCAATCAATGAACCATATTTGAAAAAGTGCAGAAGAAATACGCACCGCAAGCCAAGTCGATCATACCGCATTTGATATTTTATAGCAACTTAGCGTTAGCTCTGTCGATCAATCAACGATCTTGCGCAAGTCTTAGGCACGGCGGTTTGCATATGTTTTCATCACAGTAAGGCGGGTTAGGTGTAACGATTTTAGTGACATGATTTAGTTCGAAAAAAAATGCCTGGTAATTTAAATTTAATTTTGAATTTATTTCGAACCTGCATTGAAACCAAACTTAACTAAACTTCGATGCACAGAGGGACACAGACAGATAGGCATGCCAAAATCGATTCAGAATTTAATGCTGATAAAGAATATATACACTTTGGGGCGCCTCTGAAGCTTCTCTCTCGATCTTCTCAACATTTTGCCAAAATGAAGACACTCCCGTCCATCGGTGACATAATAATTCACATATTCTTTTAAAAATGTAGAAATTTTTTGCTAAATATAAAGAGCAATATGATGCTTTTGAATGTGGCAAACGATGTATGTGTGTATTCAGTTTATCTACACGTATGGATGCAAAAACAACAAATCTTTGATAATGAAACTATGTCCTTGAAAGAGAAATGCACAAACGTGACGGAAGAAATTTAAAAATTTTTTGCTCTCGCTTTTATCTTTGAATAAATCTACTTAAATTATAAAAACACAGATTTTGTTAAGCAAAAGCGAAGAGACAATTTCATTAGAAATTTAAAAATAAATTTGAATCTTTTATTAAGGCTTTTTAATAGTCTTCTTACAAAGTCAAATATATAAAGATTTAATAAATTTCAAAAAGTTGATTTTTAGCAAAGCAAATGCGAGTTAAACTTAATCGAATGAATTGTTAGTGGAATTTTTTTAATGTATAAAGATCGCTTTCTTTGCATTTGTTAGGGAGACCCTTAATTCTTCAAGTTACCTGCGCTTTCCGAGCGCACATCTACCATGAAAAACAAGACATTTTTCCACATTATATATCTACACAGGGACGGCTAATCGGGATAATTGAAAGACGCATTTATCCGGCACGTGTGTACACTCGCCAATCGTATTGATATTTTACAGGTAATCTCATCCTTTACTTCATAATTAATTAGCAGCCAAGACTTGAGAGCAAAATGAAGCTTAAAGTGGCATTAAAAATGTTTAATGATTTACATTATTGCATTATTTAAGTTAAGCAACATTTTTTTCTTTGTCCAAACACTTTTTTTTAGTGAATGCCGGATGTCGCTTTGCTTTAATGAATTGTGTAAACCTTTTATTTTATGAGCACTTGCAAGAGACATTAGGTCAATGTTAATGACATTTAAATAATATACAAATGACAAAAGCGCACTGTTACTAATCACTGCGTTCGTGTGTGTGCGTAAACGTATAGTTTTTAAATAGCATTGTATTATATATTTTTAGCCATCATTTAATGTCGATGACTCATTCAAATTGGTGTTCCACTAACCGACACGTCTGTGTGTATAATCATCATTTGTCCTACATTCACGTAAAGAATAATCGATTGTTCCATTTTCCTAAACAATGCGTTGAAAGCATATGAAATCAGTACATTTGAAATTTAATTGCTTGTTTCAAGTCTTATTACGCTCAAAGTTTTAATGCCACAAGAGATCCGAGTCAACCTTGTGTTGCGTTCGAAAACCATTAAATCAAAACTTTTTATCACGACATCCAATTTGCTTTGCAGGAGCGACAATGAAGAAAACCCAATATAACATTTTTGTTGCCTTTTTTAAGTTACCGATAGAAAGGGGATTGTCTTGTCAGATAGAAGGATGAAGTTCAACAAATTTCGCAATAACTACCCTTTCATCGTAATGTCGTATATATATAACAATTGAAGTTAAGAATAGCAATTATTTTGGTTAAGCAAAGAGTTGATGATTAACAAGTTCGCAAGACATAAAAAACTATTTTATATTCTTCTAAGATAAAAGAAAAATTAAGGACTGAGTGTCCTTTGATTTATTTCTATTCGGATATATTTAAAGCAGTTATTTAGGAAAACTTACAATTATTTTATGAGGTTTTTATTTTTAGAAAAAAACACTTTTTATGTCCTCAAATTTAGATAAAATGTAATAATTTGGACAAGATGTCTTCAACATTTGCTTACCAAATTTCTGGTAAATTTGTTCTCGTCTTCTTATGAGATTTTGGTTTTTCCTTATACTTTTACAATTAAGACAATAAAAGTTTTCCCTTCTCATTTTCAGAGAAATAAATTAACAAGAGCGCAGCTTCGCAGCTAAAATGAGCAAAATAAAGCGAAAAGAGAAAGAGAAACTCAACTGAACAACCTTGGACGACTGCCAATTTTATCATAATTTGAAGTACAAGACAGCAACAATAATAATGATGATTATGATGCTGATGATGATGATGATGATGATGATGACGATGGTTATGAGTGAAGTGAGGCTGTTGACAATGACAGAGACACAGTAATGGCAATTACAAATTTCATACAAAAAAAAAAAAAAAGAAAAGGAAAACGCATATATATATATATATATATATGCTCATATGTATATATATATATATCAATTCAGTAACAACAATGGCAATAGTAGCAGCTGCAACAGCAAAATTGTTAATTTTCGAAACATTGAATATTTTCGTTGTTTCTTTTGTATTTCTTTAAAAATGATTAAAAATTTTCAAATAAAATATAATGTAATATGCGCATACATGCCTACACACGGGGCTGTTCAAAATAATGCCAACTGATGTCTAACCATATTTCAGCCCCCACCCAAAAAATGAAACAAACATTTCGTTACGCAGCAGTGGATGCCTTTAAATGTCACGTTCATGGCGATAGATATTTTTAATTAACCATTTATGCGAAAGTGCCGTCGCATGCAAAGACAATCACCAAGCAAATAAAACCTAAGCGAAAATATTTGTTTTGCATTCTGATTCAGTTGCATTTTATTATATCTAATAATCAGTCAGTCAGTATTTACACATTTCGATAACGTTTTTCATTTACTTTTATTTTTATTTAAAAAAAAAAAAAAAAAAAAAAAATATATATATATATATATATAATAATAGTAGAATTAGCCCTAAGCTTTTTGTATTTGCACGATTTGCGACCACTATTATGTGTAGGAAAACAAAACGTCGCGTTCTATTTGAAAGTGAACAATAGAAAATCGGAAATAAATAAATGCGAAAAGAATTAGTTGAATATTATGCTAAGGGAACGGATGAAATAAAAAAGTATTAATAATAAATAAACTCATGTGAGTACGTTTGAATACATAATCGGAAAGCCCCAGTGAACATCGTCGAGCATACACACCTTTATATTGACACTTTCCAGCGACTTTAATGTTGAAGTAATTAACAGAAAAATACATACAATTAGATGAAGTGAAACAGCGAAAACAATCTAAGTAGAATGTGGATGACGATATCGGTTGCGCACAGATCAAGTATATTTTCGGTAATGTTAGACAGAAGAGATAAAATCTATAGAACAATTGGAATGGATAGGAAGTGAGAACATACAATGGGATTGGGTGCGCATACAGGGCATAATAGAGCAGAGAAGTATAGGAGAGAAAAAATTAGGATAAAATAAGGCATGACAGGGTTAAATACCATAAATTATGGTACTACATTAAGACTACATCAAGACGTAAACCTGCATGAGTTATATTTGGTTTTAAAGCGATTTGGAAACAAAGCCATAACAACAGCTAAGGATCTTCAGTGCCGTGACATTCTTTCATAATTCTAAGATAAGGTTGTAATTCAGGTAGCACGCCATACTTCATCTTGGAAATATTTGATTTGAAATATATGGTACACGTTACCATATATAGTAAGTAGTCTTATATGCGTTCAAAGTCTCAATATGCCCCAACTAGGTTATGTTTTTGTGCTAACCAGGAATCTATACTCTATGGTTGAATCTGAAGGATATTTCGGAGATTTACAAATGAAATGAGCAATTTAATACACTTCCGTATGCGGAGTGATCGTAAAACGGGCATATAATTGGTAAATGCGGTGTATTTCGTTTTTCTTAATAGCATACCGAAAGAGAAAGCCAGCTACAGCAAAAGCAAACGTAAAATGTCGCGAGTGGTGGCTACGACCTCGACCATTATGAAAATAAGAAAACTATGTGTTTGCGATTTTTGAAGAACACAAACATCAACAACCAAAATGAAATTAATAAAAAAGCTAAAACAAAACTAAAAACAATTCTTAATATAACAAGAGTAAACGCAAAGTGACTATGAAATCTCCCATAAAAAGCATCAAGCACTAAAAAATAAATGAATGTGTGTTTCTGGTTTTTGGAAAATTAAATCATACAATCGTTAACTGAGATTAATTTA